TGCATGCCACCATGCCTGGTTAATTTTTGTATTTTTAGTAGAGATGGGATCTCACCATGTTGGTCAGATTGGACTCAAACTCCTGACCTTAGGTGGTCTACCCACCTTGGCCTCCCAAAGAGCTGGAATTACAGACATGAGTTACCACACCCAGCCCCATCCCTTTATTTTGAGCCTATGTGTATCTTTGCATGTGAGATTGGTCTCTTGAAGACAGCATACTGATTGGTCTTGGCTCTTTATGCAGCTTGTCATTCTGTGTCTTTTAATTGGGACATTTTTTTCTAATTCAATTTGAGGCTTGTATTGTTATGTGTAGATTTGATTCTGTCATCATGTTTTTAGCAGGTAATTTTGCAGACTTGTTTATGTGGTTGCTTCATAGTGCCATTGATTTTTGTACTTCAGTGTGTTTTCATAGTGGCTAATTTTTTTTCTTCTATATTTAGTGCTTCCTTCATGAGCTTTTATAAAGCACATCTGCTGGTAATGAATTCCCTCAGTATTTGTTTGTCTTAAAGGATCTTATGTCTTCTTTGTTTATAAAGCTTAGTTGGGCTGAATTTGAAATTCTAGGTTGAGAATTTTTTTCTTTAAGAATGTTGAATACTGGCTCACAATCTCTCCTGGCTTGTAGATTTCCACTGAAAGGTTCACTGATAATCTGATGGGCTTCCATTTGTAGGTGAGCTGTTCTTTCTCTCTGGCTGCTTTTAACATTTTTTCTTTCATTTCAACCTTGGAGAATCTGATGATTATGTGTATTGGGGTTGGTCCTTTTGTGATGTATTTTACTGGAGTTCTCTGCATTTCCTAAACTTGAATGTTGACCTATATTGCTAGGTAGGGAAATTTCTCCTGTATGATATTTTGAAGTGTTTTCCAACTTGATTACATTCTCCCTGTCTTTTTCACATACCTCTATCAATCTTAAGTTCAGTCTCACCAAACACGGTGGCTCACACCTGTAATCCCAGCACTTTGGGAGGCCAAGGCATGTGGATCACCTGGGGTTGGGAGTTCAAGACCAACCTCACCAACATGAAGAAACCTCATCTCTACAAAAAATACAAAAATTAGCCAGGCATGGTGGCACATGCCCGTAATCTCATCTACTCAGGAAGCTGAGGCAGGAGAATTCCTTAAACTCAGGAGGCGGAGTTTGCAATGAGCCAAGATCATGCCATTGCCCTCTAGTCTGAGCAACAAAAGTGAAAGTCCCTCTCAAAAAAAAAAAAAAATTCAATCTCTACGTAATCCCATATTTCTTGGAGGTTTTGTTCATTATTTATTCATTTTTCTCTATTCTTATCTGCCTGTTTTATGTCAGAAGATAGCCTTCAAGCTCTGAGATTATTTCTTCCACTTAGCCTATTCTGTTATTAATACTTGTGATTGCATTGTGAAGTTCCTGTAGTTTGTTTCTTAGCACTTACAGGTTGATTATATTCCTCCCTAAACTGGCTATTTTAGCTGTCAGCTCCTGTATTGTCTATCATGATCCTTAGCTTCTATCATTGGGTTACAACATGCTCCTTTGGCTCAGGGAAGTTTGTTATTACCCACCTTCTGAAGCCAACTTCTATTCTTTCAACCATCTCAGCCTCAGCCCAGTTCTGAACCCTTGCTAGAGAGATATTGTGGTCATGTGGAGGAGAGTTGCTGACCTTTGAATGGGGTTTTGGGGGGGTCTTTTTGTTAATGCTGTTATTGCTTTCCGTTTGCTTGTTTTTGTTTTGGCAGTCAGGCCACTCTTCCAAAGAGCTGCCACAGTTTGCTGGGGGTCCACTCCAGACCCTGGTTGCCTTGGTCTTTTCCCTACCTGGTGGTTTCATCATTGAAGGTTGTGAAACAGCAAAGATGGGAGACTGCTCCTTCCCCTGAAAGCTCCTTTCCAGGAGGGTACCTGCTCTATTGCCAGCCTGAACATGCCTACAGGAGTGGTTGCAGACCTCTGTTGGGAGATCTCATCAATTCAGGAGGAATAGGATGATGGACTCATTTAAAGAAGCGGTCTGGCTGCTTTTGGGTAGAGCAGGTGTGCTGTGTTGGTGATCACTTCAGCCTGCAATTGATATGGGCTCTCCAGGACCAACAGAATAGATTGACTGATAAGCTGGAACAGCCAAGGTGGCAGCCTGCCCCACACCGCATGTACTCCATTTCAAAGAAAGATCAGAGATCTGTCTGTCGAAAACTGGCCATGATAGCAGAAGCCCTGGCTGGGAGGTTCCACCCAGGAAAGAGGAGTAGATCAGGGTCCCACTTAGAGAAGCAGTTTGGCCATGATCTGGCAAAGCAGCTGTGCTGCAATGAAGTGGGGAGGGCTTTCTTGCCTGGACCGTTTGGATTCTCCAAAGCTGGCAGGCTGGAGGGGCTGAGTCAACCAAACTGCAGAGACTATTCACCATGAGACCACTCCTCCCTCCCTTTGGGGTCTCTGTCCCAGGGAGAGATCAGAGCTCTGTCCATAGAAAAATGACTGGGGTGACTGAAGCCCTGGCGGGGATGTCCCATTCAGTGAAGAGGAATGGATCAGACCCTGCTTAAAGAAGCAGTCTAGCCATGATCTGGCAAAGCAACTCTGTTGCATTAGGGAGATCGCATTCTCATTCAGACCACTTGGACTCTCCAAAGCCAGCAACTAGACCACAGAGATGATGAGTCAACTAGACCACAGAGATGATGGCCATCCCTCCCCCGAGGAGCTCCCTCTCATCTCAGACAGACTCTACCCAATTACCATTGGCTGGCTGAAATTCCAAGCTAGGGGGTCTTATGAGGTTCCTTGGAAGTGGGCCTGCAGAATGACACTGCTGGGCTCCCTGGATTCAGCCCCCTTCCTAGGGGTATGTACAAATCTCCCACCTTGCTTGAGTTGCAGACACGTTTGTGGAAATCTTGGGGCCAGAATATGTAAAGCTCCTGAGTCTCTGTGTGTGCCTGAGCAGTGGCTCTGCTAAGACTCCACACAGCTCTCTGTATTGGAGCCAAGGCCTTCATAGCATAGGCTCACAAGGGGCTCTCCTGATCCACAGGTTGCAAAGATCCATGGGAGAAGCATGGTTTCCTGGCATAGTTGCACAATCACTTACCACTTCTTTTGGCTGAGGATGAGTCACTCCCAGATGGGCTATCACCCCATGCTTTTCTCCATTCTTCATGGGTTGAGTTGTTCGCCTAATCACTTCCAATGCAAGAATTAGGAAATTTCAATTGAAGGTGCTGTATTCACTCACCCCCGTTTTTCCTCTCCATGAGTACCATGGACTACAGCTGCTTCTAATTGGCCACGTTGGCCAACTACCCCCATTCCTCTGTTTTATCAAGCCAGCTACTTCAAGATGATAGGGAGCATGATAAGACCAGTGAAAAGAAGTATATAAGCATGAGCTTATTACCATACTTCTTTTGTTTTGAAGTTGACTAGGTTCTTTGGTCAGAAGCAATGCTGTGTGGAATACCATGATGGTGAATAAGGCATTCTGTAAGTCCATGGATGGTAGTTCTGGCAGAAACATTAAATGTATGGAAAGCAAATCCACATCCAGTATAAGTGTCTATTCCAGTAAGGATGAAATACTGTTTCCTCCATAATAGAAGCAGTCGAGTGTAATCAACTTGCCATCAAGTAGATGCCTGATTACTCTGGAAATGTTGTCATATCAGGGGTTTGTATTTGTTTTTGTTGCTGGCAGATTGGGGACTCAGTGGTGGCCTTAGCCAAGTTGGCCTTGGTGAGTTGCATTCCATGTTGGTGACCCAATGCATAATCTTCACCCTTTTCACCAACACCAACATTTTTATGAGCCCATGAGGCAATGATAGGGGTGGCTGGAGAAAGATGCTGATGGGTATTTGAAAATGAGTCATTCTATCTACTTGATTATTGAAATTATCCTCTAGTGAGATCACACTTTGGTGAGCATTCATATGGGCCACATCTTCACATTCTTTGCCCATTCTGAGAGATTTATCCATGTACTTAATTCCCCACATTTCTTTGTTACCAATTTCTCAATCATATACCTTACAAGTCCCTGATTATCTCACCAAACCATTGACTATAACCCATTAATTGTTATGTAATTACACATCTGGCCATTTAGCCTTTCAAGCAAAGTTAACAACCAAGTACAATGCTGTATTCAAGTTTCTGCCCACTGGGAAGATTTTTTTTAACCATTGTCTTTCAGGAATATCCCAGAAAGGGGCTATTATGCTGCAGCTGTTCACTTTTGAGTGGTGCATGTGTGTCATGCAGAACCATCTGTAATCTAGGCCTGAGTCTTCTCTTCTTTTGTCAACTAACCCTAGGGTACTCCCCATGAGGCCACAGGTATAAACTGAGAGAGAGAAGACAGCATAGCAGGAGTAGAAACCATGGGTATTAGCTCCACTTTTTTATATAACTTACTTGTGCTTTCAGAACCTGTTTGCAGCTGATCACAAATATACCACTTCCATTTTATGATGGAATGCTGCTGTGCATGTTCAACTCTATGGCTTGGTGGGTAAGATAATACTCCATTCATGATAGGCAGCCCAGGTCACATGGTAACTTGGTGACTTACGATTGAGCATTTAGTTTCTCTTCAGACCCAGTAGAGGCCAAGAGTAATCTCCCAAAGGAGAGCAGTTATTTGTGGATTATGGCACTGCCTTGCTCCAAAATTCTAAAGGCCTGCACTGCAAATCATGTATAACAGCCTGCCACCTACTCCAAATGTCATTTCTTTTTTTTTTTTTTTTAATTCCTGTTTATTGTTGGACAACATTGTTTCACACATACATCAAACAGGCCAAAAAAATAAATAAATAAACAGCAACTTCATAGACAAAAAAAGGAAAAAAAGGAAACCTTTTAATCTTTGGCCTTTTAACCATCCCATACAAACCAACAACTTATAGTACAGCTAAGTACATACACAACAAAGGCACTGGAATGCTCGGAATACGATTGTTTTTCTGTTGTTGTTTTTGCTTTTTTTTTTACAAGCTTTTTTCTTCTTTGAGATTATAATGAACATGGTTACACCACAAGTAAAGTCGGAAGTAGGACAGAGAACACTCCGAAGGCTGGTTTGGTCATCCAAGATCATTAAAAATGGCTGACCCTAACAATATGTACAAAAATATAAAATGTAAATAAAAAATAAAACAAATTTCCTTTTTAAAGTACTTTTAAGAAAAAAAGCAAGGCCTTGGAAGTTTTGATTCTTTTTTCCTCCCCTGTTGCAAATTCTCATGGTTTGGGCTGGGTAGTGGAGAGCGCCTCGTGTCATCTGCGGGTGGCGCTGCCCGCGGTGGGCAGGAGGGCCGGTCTCTCTACTCGAAGGTGACCACGTTTAGATTCTGAGACAAGAAGTGGAGGGTGAATAGGTCACGGCGGCCTTTTTGTTGTTGTTGTTTTTAGTTTAACTTTTCCTTTTTTGCTGTCTAATCATCCTCGTCGGTCTTCTGCTTCTTGGTATCGACATCGTCATCCTCATCATCTTCAGCTGCCCGCTTGCTGGTAGCAGACTCAGCTTCCTCATCTTCATCTCCATCCTCCTCCTCCTCACCATCACCTTCTTCTTCCTCCTCCTCTTCCTCCCCACCTTCTTCCTCTTCTTCATCTACCTCCTTGTCAGCCTCCTGCTCCCCATTTTCCTCATTCTCCACATTCCCGTTAGCAGGGGCGTCTCTTCCATTTTCCGCCTCTTCCACAACTTCCTTCTCCTTCAAGTCCTTGGTGGTGATTTCGGAGCTGGTGTCTATCGCTGCGTCTGACATGGTGGGGCACGCCGGTGATCCGATGCGGGGGACTAAAAAGAAAGCGAGAGTTCAGGGACTCTGGCGATAAAGATGCCGGAGTCCGAGACGGCGAAGGAGGCGCGCCGCTGAGGTGGCTGCAGCGACCAAGGAGTCGGAGGAGGAACAATGCAAAGATGGCTTTTCAGAGCAGCCAGTGGGGGCTCCAAATATCATTTCTATCTGCTACTGACAACTCAAACATCATTGCATCTGCTGTATATTATGGCTCATGTGGAAGAGCAATTTGGAGGGCAGCCTGATGACATTGGAGAACCTTCTCCTGTTCTGGGGACCACTCAGAACTAGCATGTATTTAGGTCACTAGTAGGTTTTTGGGTCACTTCATAAATGAGCCAGAATAAGAAAACCAAATTTGGAATTTGTAACTTCAAAAATCCAAATAATCTCTCTAGACATTATGCTTCTTTCTCAGTTGTAGGATGGGCCAGATGCAACAATGTATCCTTTACCTTAGAAGAAATATCTTGACATGCCTTCCACCACTGAACCCCAAGAAATTTGACTTGGGTAGAAGGACAAATTAATTTACCATCCTCTGCATGCAAATGTTTTACCCGTAAGTCTAGAGTCATAGCTACTTTTTGCTCCTATGTCCAATCAGTATAAGATCATCAATGTAATGGATCAGTGTGGTATCTTGTGGAAGAAAAAAGAAACCAAGCTCCCTGCAAACTAAATTAGGACATAGGACTAGAGAGTTGATACACCCCTGAAGTAGAACAGTAAAGTTATATTGCTGGCCTTGCCAGCTGAAAGAAAACTGCTTCTTATGGGTCTTACAGAGATATATGGAGAAAAAGGCGTTTGCCAAGTTATTAGCTGTATACCAGGTACCAGGATATGTGTTCATTTGCTCTTGCAATAAAACCGTATTTGGTACAGAAGTGTGAATTTGACTTACCACTTGTTTAAAGTGTACCAATTCACTGAATTAGTCTATTGACATGCTGCTGATAAAGACATACCCAAGACAGGGCAATTTACAGAAGAAAGAGGTTTAATGGACTTACAGTTCGACGTGGCTGGAGAGGAGCTACAATCATGGTAGAAGGTGAAAGCCATGTCTCACATGGTGGCAGACAAGAGAAGAAAGAATTTGTGCAGGGAAATGCCCATTTTTAAAACCATCAGATCTCATGAGACTTATTCACTATAATGAGAACAGCATGGGACAGACCTGCCCCCATGATTCAATTACCTCCCACCAGGTCCCTCCCATGAAGATGTGAAAGCGACTTTGGAACTGGGTAACAGGCAGAGATTGGAACAGTTTGAACAGCTCAGAAGAAGGAAAATGTGGAAAAGTTTGGAACTTCTTAGAGACTGAATAAACTCTCTATGCTGATCTCTCTCCCTATCACCTTTTTAAGGCAAATAACTTAGATTTACCCTTTTGAGGCTATCTTCTATATCTTGTTGCCATACTTTATTCTTTTTTTAATTATTTTTTCCTTTATCTCCTCTGACTGTGTATACTCAGCTAGCTTGTCTTTGAGTTCACTAATTCTTTTTTCTGCTTTATCAGTTCTGCTGTTGAGAGATTGATGCATTCTCAGTATGCCAATTGAATTTTTCAACTCCAGGATTTTGGCTTAGTTTTTTAAAAATTTTCAATTTCTTTGTTAAATTTAATTGATAGAATTCTGAATTCCTTCTCTGTGTTATTTTTAATTTCATCAGACTTCCTCAAAATAAGTATTTTGAATGCTCTCTCTGAAAGATCACATGTCTGTGTCTCTGAAATTGGTTGCTGGTGCCTTATTTAGGTCATTTGGTGAAGTCATGTTTTCCCGGATTGTCTTGATGCTTGACAACGTTCTTTGATGTCTGGGCATTGAAGACTTAGGTATTTATTGTAATCTTCCATTTTGGTTTGTTTATACTTATCCTTCTTGAGAAGGTTTTCAGGTATTCAAAGGGAATTGAATGTTGTGATCTAAGCCTTTCGTCACTGTAGCCTTGGTTGTCTTGGGTAAGATTCAAGACAATTCCCTGGATTACCAGGCAGAGTCTCTTGTTCACTTCTTTTATTTTCCCCCAAACAAAATGGAGTCTCTCTTTCCATACTGAGCTGCCTGGAGTTAGAGGTAGATTTACATAAACACTTCTAATTCCACTACCACTGGGACTGAGGTGGGTCAGACCTGAAGCTGGCACAATAGTGGGTCTTACCCATGGCCTGTGGCAACTCTTGCCTGACTACCACTAATTTTGATTCAAGGCACAGGGCTCTTCCGTCAGCAGGTGGTGAATCCAGCCAGGTTCATGTCTTTTCCTTCTGGATGGCATGTTCTGTTAATGGCCCAGAGTGGGTCTAGAAATGCTATCTGGGAGCTACGGCCAGGAGTCATGAATTTTAGAAATCTACTTGTTGCTTTATTTTACTGTTGCTAAGCTCATACCCAAGTTTCAAGGTAAAGTACTTTTTACTTTTTCCTTTTCTTTTCTAGGGCAGAGTATTTTCCTGTTGTTACCACAGCTAGGAATGTGCTGGGTCACACCTGAAGCCATCACAGTACCAGGTTTCATCCAAGGCCCATGGTCGGTACTGCCTGGCTACTGCTGTTTATTCAAGGCCCAAAGGTTTTTTAGTCTGCAGGTGATGAATCCTGCCAGGACTGGTTTCTTCCCTTCAAAGCAGCAAGTTCCCTTCTGCCCAGGCTGTGTCTAGCAATGTCACCTGTGAGCTGGGACCTGGAATAGGGACCTGAGGACACTGCTTGGTGTTTTATTTTACTGTGGCTGAGCTGACATGCAAGTTGCAAGACAAAGTCCTTTTTACTTTTTTCTCTCCTTTCCTCAAGTGAAAGGAGTTTCTCCCAGAGCTGCAAGCTGAACTGCCTGAGGCTAGGAGAGAGGTGACACAAGCACTATCTTGGCTATTCTAGCTGGTGTTTCACTGGGTCACGTGCATCCAAAGTCCACTGGTTCTAAGCCCAGCATAGCACCAGGGCTTCTCCAGGAATTCCAATCCTTGTAGCCTGAATTGCCTTTCAAATTTATTTAGGACCCTAGAGCACTTTAGTGCTGGGTGGTGGGGCTAGCAAGAACTCAAGTTCCAATGGCTGGAGTAGATAATTCCCTTCAGGCTAGGGCTGGTCTAAATGCTTCCTCCTTGGGCACTGGACAAATTTTGTCCTGTATTGCTTTCCACTGTGACAGGATAACACTGAGTTCCAATGCACAGTCCCATAATCACTGTATTCTCCCTCCCTCAAACACACAGTTTCATTATCTGTACCTCACAGGCACTGTGGAAGGATGCAGAAGGGGTGGTGTCAGCAACTCAAAATTTTCTTTCTTATCCTCTGCAGTGCCCCTTTCCTTCATATGATGTTAAAACCAGGTACTGTGACCGTTCACCTGATTAGAGGTTCTTATGAAAGTGCTTTCTTGTGTCAATAGTTGTTCAGGTTGGTGTTCCTGTGGTGTGGAGACAATGAGGGGAGGGCTCTATTCAGCCATTTTACTCCCTCTTCTTCCTTTCCCTTTTGACAATTAGATTATAATGCTTTTCAGTGTGGACTTCCTTAGGACAATTTTTATTGGAGTCCTTTGAACTTCTTAATTTAGATGTCTATTTGCTTCTTCAGATTTGGGATGTTTCAGCTATCATTTCTTCAAATAAGCTCACTTCCCAATTTAATCTCCCTCTTCCCCTTCTTGCACTTCTATAACATGTATATTAACCCACTTGGTGGTGGCTCATAAATTCTGTAGACTGTCTTCACTCTTTTATTTTTTTTCCTGTCTGGATAATGTCAAATGACCTGTCTTTTAAACTTGACATTATTTTTCTGTTTCATCAAGTCTATTGTTTGTCTTTGTCATTTTTTTAATTTAATAATTCAAGGACACCCCATTTTATAAATGATGCTGGCAAAACTGGATAGACACATGTAGAAGAATGAAGCTGGATCTCTCTCTCTCAACATCTACAAATATCAACTCAAGATAAATCAAAGACTTAAATCTAAGATCCAAAACTATAAAAATTCTAGAAGAAAACCTGGAAAAATTCTTATGAACATTGGCTTAAGCAAAGAAGTTATGACTAAGACCCCCAAAGTAAATCCAAATATAACAAAAATAAATAAATGAGGCCTAATTAAACTAATAAGCTTCTTCACAGCAAAAGAAAGAATCATCAGAGTAAACATACATCCCATAGAATGGGAGAAAATATTTGCAAACTATGCATCTGATGAAGGACTAATATCCAGAACTACGAGAAACTCACACAAATTAGCAAGAGAAAAAATATGTATAATCTCATCAAAAAGTGGACAAATGACATGAATAGACACTTATCAAAAGAAGATGTACAAATGGCTGAGAAAAATATGAAAAATGCTCAACATCACTAATCATGAAGGAAATGCAAATGAAAACCACAATGAAATACCACCTTATTCCAGCCAGATTAGCCATTATAAAAAGTTTAAAAAAAAAAAAAAAAAAGATGTTGGCATAAATGTGGTGAAAAGGCAAAGTTTATACACTGCTGATGGGAATGTAAATTATTATAATTTCTATGGAAAACAGTATAGATATGTCTTAAATAATTAAAAGTAGATTTACCATTCAATCCAGCAATTCCAATACAAGGTATCTACCCTTTTAAAGGAAAAGAAGTCATGTCAAAAAGACACCTGCATGTGTATGTTTATCACAGCACAATTAACAGTTGTGAAGACATAGAACCAACATAAGCACTCATAAACCAATGAGTGGTTAAAGAAGATGTGGGACTGGCCACTGTGGCTCATGCCTGTAATCTCAGCAGTTTGGGAAGCTGAGGCAGGTGGATCACTTGAGGTGAGGATTTCAAGCCCAGCCTGGGCAACACGGTGAAATCCCATCTCTACTAAAAATACAAAAATTAGCTGGACATGGTGGTGCACACCTGTAATTCCAGCTACTCGAGAGGCAGAGGCAGGAGAATTGCTTGAACCCAGGAGGTGACGGTTGCAGTGAGCTGAGATTCATGCCACTGCACTCCAGCCTGGGTGACAGAGTGAGACAAAAAGAAAAGAGGGAAGGAAAGAAGGAAGGAAAGAAGGAAGGAAGGAAGGAAGAAGAAAGAAAGAGAAAGAAGAAAGAAAGAAAGAAAGAAAGAAAGAAAGAAAAAGAAAGAAA